AAACATCGATGACAAAAAAAGTGAGCTTTGACGCTCTTTTTTTCCTTAGCAAATATTAACTACTTCTCTTCCATGTTGTGACTGCAAAGAATCGTAGGAAATGCAGCTTTTGACTGGTAATATCTCTTGAATAAATCTGTGGATTACAAAATATCACATAAGCTGCTCTTAATAAAACTAATATTTATGTCACAAAGTAAAATTAGGTCGCAGTAAAGTTACAACCGGATGGGTGGTGTTCATTTGCTTTCATCCCCTCTGAGTCTTTAAATGAAGTTGCAATTACAGCTTTAAGTGTGTTGGGGTATGTCTCTTCTTGCTCTGCATGCAGAGATTGATACATGTATTTTATTTTATTTTATCATCCCTTTTTGCAAAATAGTTCAAGCTGAGTCAGACTGGATGCAAAGTGTGTGTTAGAATCACTTTTTTTTTTTTTGAGTTGTGCCTCAGATTCTTAATTGGATTTAGGTCTGAACTTTGATTGGGTCATTCGAGCACATGAACGTTCTTTGATCTAAACCATTAATTTGCAGCTTTGGCTACGTTACGTTTAAGGTCTTTGTCCTGCTGGAGGATGAACCACTTAAGTTCAAGTGACACTTTTTAGACTTTTTTTTGCAAAGAGGGGGTTAAAAACCACATTACTTTCCTTCTACAAGAAATCAAAACCTCTTATTCTGCCTTTTCATGCGCCGTTATGTGCATTCCAAAGTGATACCATCCCCTCTCGTGCCCACCTCCCGTCTCCCCTCCCTCTGCCTTCCATGCAAATTAGAACTTCACACACGTTGCAGCAAGCTGCTGGGCGCTCTGTGATTTCACACGACCAATTAAGGCCCTCTTGGCAGTTGTGTGAACAGTTTCATTAGAGGAGATAATATTGCAAAGTGAAATGATAAGCAATCATTATGATTAATGCATGGACATTATGTTGTTCGTTAATGAGGTGTAAATGATCTCATTATTTTTTGAAAGAGTACAGATTAGATTAAAGTGGAGTGGACAGCGCTTCTCAGTGTTCAGACAAGTTAGTGTTAATTAGGCCCAATCTCCAGGAGCAAATGAGCCGCAACCCTTTGGTAAACAATTAGGCTTCCATAGCCGCAGGCTGGACGGACAAGGATAGGCAAGCGGATGGATAGATGCTCTAAGATATGAATGTTGAGAGAGCGTCAAGATCTAAATCAGATTTATTGTCGGATGTCAACAAAGAAGGGGGTGATGGATCAAAACACTACAGCAAATATTTAAGGCAAGAATTGACTATTTCTTAATGTTAGTTTATCATTTCCAGAATGTAGGGTTTCATTTTTGTCTATTGTCCTTAAAAATTTTAAAATTAGGGCATTAGCACATACAGTCGTTATAAATGACAGTTTTATAATTGAATTCTCCTGGAGGCGGTGGTGATACTTGAATGAGTCCATCTGCCGCACCGACAACCAATGAAAATGCAGGACGTTATGCGGCGGAGGTCAATTGCAGTCAATCTCCACATAAAACGAGACGGTCTTCCAGGAAACTTGCTAAGAGATTCGTGTGACGATATAATTTTGTCTGGTGCTTGTGCATCCCCTACGCCCATGCCGCTCTGGGCAAGTGCCTCAACGAACAACCTGAAAAACCACCAATGGTTGGCGGTAAACACAAATCGCAGAATGGGGGATTTTTTTTTTTCCTTTGTGTGTTAGACAATACCGCTCGTTTGTTGACCAATTACCCAAAATGCAACACGAACAATTAAAATCAAAACATGGGTAATTTTCTTCACCGCCTACTTTACTAATAATCGATTTCATCAGACATCTGACAGCAACTCAAAATGGCTAATTCTGCAACACCAACAAGTCAAATTCTGGCCATCATAAGAGTTAAAAGGGATCAAATCTAGAATGGCTTCATAATAGGATATACAATAAAATTAATTTCTGAATGAGAACTGGTTACTTCTCTCTAGTATTTGCCCAAATACTATGAACTGACATGGAGAGGAAACGTGCCGGGGAACAGTATGGTTGGGAATGGAAGAACGAAGGCAGGAAATGGCGACACGCGGACGCCGAAGGGGGGAACGGAGTGGGGCGAATTAACCTGAAGCTACTGTGGGATTACTTTTTTTTTTCTAGACAGTGGAAACTGGGCAGACATGTAGACATTGTGAAATATTTTGGTTAAGTATGTGGGCTGCAGTTTTGGAGATTTCTAAAGCTGCATTCAAGGTAAAAAGAAAAAAAAAAAGCTCACTTTTCAATTTTTACTTTACTTGTGACAACAAATCAGGGGAAATACAAACAGAACTTTTGTTTCATGAGGCTATTATTCGCTCAATTAATGTCACTCCAACTGTGTTTTCTGCGTCTCTAACAATTCATTTATTATGTTTTAGTAGAAAGTAAGAAAAAAAATCAAAACAATACACAAAGAAACTGAAACAAAGGATTTAGTTGCGGTGCTTAGTCTTAGGTCCAAATTCATTAATTCGAACACAATTGGGGATTTTTGTTGCGTTTGAATAAATTCAGATGTTATTCTTTTTCATTATTAAAAACACAATGGCAACACGACACTTTGTCTAAAGTGGAAAATAGGAAGTTTATAAAGCAACAAATATCAAAAATCCCATTTACCTTCCCGTTAAATCCCTTCACAAAACCATATGATGAGTGGAGCTCCTATAACTCGCGTCAACACACGACTGGCCCATCCGCAGTGGGAAATGTCCGCCGCCGAGCCGCATTGATTTTGTTTTTTTTCCCCCACTCTCACATCTTGTCTTTTCTGAACAGATATTCTCGGATTATGACAAGAAAAGCGATGCTGTAATCCTCCGCCGCCACAGGAGTTATGTTTCAGAGACGCAAGGCCCTTATCAGTGATTGATAACGCCTAAATCAAAAACATATACGAGCATTAGGAGAGTCAATATTTTGCCGGCGACTGAAGGTGACCCCCGGTTCCTGTGTTTGCAGTTTGCGCGCGGAGGGCTTTGATGGTAAATTTGTAAGGGTGGTTATGTGGGGAGGCTATTATGGATTTGCTATCTTGGCCTGAAGTGTTTGGAGCTGATTATGTGATTAAATCAATAATAATTTCTGTTTGGGCTCCTTTGCTCCTCTGCTTCATCTTCTTTTTCCTGTGTAGTTGAGTGGAACGGTGGGCGGGGAGCAGCGCACACAAGTAGAAATGCAGCGCACAGAATGCTCACACACACACAGACACACACGCACACACACGCATGCACGTGAGCTGCCATATGCTGCGAAAAGACAGAACAACTGCGTCCCAGATGGCACAGTGGGCATGTTGGTGGGTCCAGAAATTTTGAGAGAAGAAACATTTTTAACACTTGGAAACACTTAATTGAAGGAGCGATTAAAAATCTATAGTCTTCATACCCCGTAAACCTTTACACATTGTTCTCATATTCCAACCACAAACTTCTACGTGTTTCACTAGGTTTTTTTTTTTTGAAAGAGCAACAAAGTAGAACTTTTTTTTTGTAAAAGGTAGAGCTCTCTCATCAGCATTAAAGCTAAATTTCTCTGGAGTCATGTGACAACCAGCTTAGTACGTCAAGAGGCCTAAATGTTTGTCCATTTTTTCTTTACAAAACAGTTTGAACTCTGTCAGACTGGATGGAAACCCTTTGCAAATGTCATATTTCAGAGAACTTCATTGGTTCTTAGCAACTACGTTTTAGACTCCTATTCAAACCAGAAAAGGAATTAGACCAGAGGATACTTACTTATACTCATCTACAACCCTGAATAGGAGTATCTAGTTTATTTACTTGGCCTCTTTCCTTTGGTTTGTTATTTTGTTTGCATTTCCTTTCCACTCCTGTAAAGCACTTTGAATTGCCTTGTTGCTGAAAATGTGCTATATAAATAAAATTATCTTTACTTCTCAACCAAGTTTAGCCCTGGACTTTGACTGGGCCATTCTGACATTCGAATGAGCTTTGATTTAATCACTTTGTTGTAACTCTTTGTAGGTTTGGGCCTGTTCTCATGGAACTCGTCCCGTTGTCCCTTCAGAAAAAAAAATAAAGAATTAAATCATTCCCACAGCATGACGGTGCCGCCACCATGTTTCACCGTGTGTGTGGATTGTTCGGAGTGTTTTGCTTTTTTTTGGGTCTGCCTGTTTAGTTGTTTAACATTGCCTAGGCTATTTTTTTAATTTTTAATTTTAAGATGATGAATTTGAAGAAAGCATTGCTTCATAACTTTGCTTAAAATTTCTCCACAACCTTTTGTTCATCTACACCTCTAGTCCTCTATCAAGCATTCACAAGACAGATTCGTACTTGTATTAAAAAAAAATCTACTATTAAAACTACACTGCATCGCTGTTGCTCTGAGAATATTCTTTAAAATACTTTTGCTGGTTTATAAGCACCAAAACGCCTTAAAGACCAACCTTCTGGACGAATCACATCTCGTGGTTTTAAAACCAAACATGGAGAAGCAACATGTTCAGTCTGGAACAAACTTACAAAAAACTGCGAAACAGCTGAAACACTGAGTTCCTTTAAATCAAGGCTAAAAGCCCACCTGTTCAGAATTGATTTTGAGTCATAATAACTGGATCATTAATCAATATATCTGATGTGTATGAGCTTGATGATTTTGACAAAATTCAGTGTTTTGTTTCTTTATTCATAATTGGCTACTGTGTTACGTTTTTATGACGTAGAAACACGTCGAACTGCCTTGATACTTGACTCAACTTGAAATTTTAGTTATTTAGACGGTTTAAAAAAAAAAAAAGTGACACCAAATTCATGGCTCATGTTTTTGCATGAAAAAACCACTGCAGAAAAGTTCAAGGGGTATGAATATTAATACTCCTCCCCTGCCTGTAACACTGTGGCTGTGAATCCATGCAAATCGGTTCTACAAACTGGAGATGACGATAAAGAAAAGAGGAGAAGTTCAGTCGGAATTTCAAAAATAAAACATCAAAACACCTCAGCGTCAGAAATGTGACCTTACCCGGTGATCCAGAACGTCAGCCATGCGACGCCCCGACACCTCCGCTGTTTCCGTCTCCGTTGCTTCTTCGTTTGCACCTCACATGCCCCGGCTTGGCGACTCGTGCCAGCCACTCCTTAACAACCACAAGTCGCTCCACTGTTTGCCCCGTGCCAGGTTTGTTGTTATGTCTAGACGACAGGAAATGCAACATTACATTTGTTTACAACCAGCAGGAACTAGAACAAGAAGCCGTTACGTGATTAAAGAGCGCTACCCAGAGAGTGTAAGTGTGTGTGTGTGTGTGGGGGGGGGCTTCAACCTCCATGGGTTTGGCAACGACCAAACCAAACGGGTTTCAGGGCCCGAACCAGAGCCAGACACTGCCGTGATCCGTAAGGTGAAAAATTAATGTTTCGAGGAAAAGTTACTTATGAGTCATTGAGCGGTAGCACCAAAACGTGCGATTTCTTTCCATGTTTCTTGTATTTTTTTTTATTTTTTATCTGCTTTATTGAACCTTGTCTTGCTGTGAGCATGCAAATTTTAATAATGGGCACTTGTTGTGGCTCTGGCTGCATATGTGTGTGGTTTTGTGTGGCTAAGTTAACTTTCAATCCCTCAACACCCTCTTAAATCTATATCCAATAAAAATCAGCACCGGCTTGAAAAACAAAACCCAGGGAAACATCTGTAAAACATCGATTTCGCAGATTGCGAACCGACTGCATGGCTAATGAGAAAAGAAATCATTTTTGATTAATTAACCTAAAATTGGAGGATCTAAGCTGCCACTGGGGAGATGACAAGTGCTGCAGGCCTGAGAACGCAGAGCGGAGGCGGCAGGGGAGGCGGGGTGGAGGGTCGGTACAGTGGAGCTGCTTTTCCAGCCCCTCGTCACTACAGTGAGGGGGAAGGAGGCATGGCTCCCATTACTGGGCCAAATTTACCAAGAGCCTCTCTGTGGTGATCAAATAAGAGTCAAATATTTTCCACTTGATGATGATTGTGCGCATTTTATTCATGAGGGGAAACATGTCGGTTAGCTTTAGCCTGCCTGGAATTTACTGCTTTTTACAGTATTTTAGTCAAGTTAGCTTAGGAACGGCTTCACACAGACCACACCGGCAAGCTCCAGCCTTTCCAGTCCTGCGGTCGCTGTGCAGCGGGGACGTGTTTGTGGGGTTTCTTTTTTTTCTTTGCACTTGGAGAACGCACGCCTGACGTTTTCCCGAAACAGAGGACGTTCAATTGTTCGGAAAACTCGAATGGGACCGGTGCCACTTCGGGATACGATCACAAACAGTCTGGACCGAAAAGCGTGATTGTTATAAAATTAGGCGCGTCTGGGCGGGTTCAGCGTGATCTGGTGTGTCCCTTGGATAATTCAGCACCCTGTCAACAGTTGCCATCGGATCCACTTTATTCAATTTTTAAACTTCCTGTAATTCTGAATGTTGATTTGTGATTCACGAGGAAGAAGACATTCGTCTACAGAAAACTGGCCACAACTTCTAGAGAAAAAAAGAAACATTTCAAATATAGCGATAAATTAATTAACTAAATATGACAATTTTTGGGATGGGTTTAAATATCCCAAAGATACAATAAATTTTAGACCATAAAAATCTGGCCAGTTTTCAAAAAATATACTTTAAATATGTGCAAATTTTTTTGTTGTTTGTTTTTTGTTTTGTTTTTTGTCAAATTGTCTTTGATTGTTGGGAAGGGAAGTGTTGGGACTTTAAGTCTAATTCTGCTTTCAGAAAACAAAGAACTCAATAAGCCCTATTTGTTTTAAACATTCAGCTTTTTCTTATTTTTTGGGCATTTAATAATAAAACATTTTGTTACATTGTCAACCTGAGGAATTGCAGTTTGACGTCTAACAGGGATTTTAGAATCAATGAATTGAATCTAAATGAATTTTGCAAATGCCCCTGAAAAATTAAATAGTAATTTTTTTTTTTACAGGAACCAAAATGTCAAAGCATTCCAGACTTTGCTTAAAAATAAAATAAAACAATAAAACAGATTTGCAACATTTTGTCAAAATTTTCTGAAGTAGTTGAAGAATTGAAGACCTTGGTTAAATTGAGGCAATTAGCATGTTTTCCTCATGAAAATTCAATCCTGGAGCAATTCTCCTGAAGTAGCTTTTATCCATTTAATTGTTACGTTCCGGTTTGTTTCCTGCATTTTGCTCTTCTGACTGCTCTCTAGCCAAACGTTCACCCAACTTTCGCTTTCAGAAAATCAGATATGTATTTCTTGCAGATTTTTTTCTGATCGACCCAGTCGACTGGCTTACAATGCAGTCGAAGATCCGTCGATTTAATTTATTTTACTGCTATTCCGACAATCACAACATATCCACACATCCACCTTTCCCATTTCGAAGAGGGACAAAGTGCAGCAGGAAACTGAAAGTCAATAAAAAAAATTTTTTTTAAAGTAAACTTCATAGACATTACGGGTAAAGGGTGAAATAAAAAAATGTTTCACTTAAATTCATTTCTAGGATTTATTCGGAGGGTCGCAAAATGTTTTTACTTCTCATTTGTGCGATGATGTGAAACCCTTTAAGAAGGCTCTTTGTAGACTTGCGTTACCATACTAAAGCATTTTATGACGTTTGTCTATTGATGAAAAATATTTCCTGTTCAAACCAGTGCCTTAAGCACTGCTACTAAACCACAAAAATGTTCTATTCCCGCCGTTCCCTCTATTTAAACTCAGTTCAGTCAGATGACAGTGAAAGTTTTCACACTGCTGCTGCTCTGGCTGACATGAGGTCACTACACCTTTAATGTGCTTCGAAGTCTATTTTTTAGGGGGGGGGAATATTTCCAGTTGTGACAAACGCTTTTAATTTCCTTGGCACGGAAACTAAAAGGCTGCCACTCATCGAGGCTCTGTTTCAAAGACGAAGAAAAACAGTAAAATAAAAATGTAAAATGTTCTAGACAAGGAGATTTACATCAAGCAGGTGATTATTTTATTTCCAAAAAAGGACGATTGAAATTGTAATGCTTGACATTTCCAATTATTTGTTTGTGCCTTGGTAGGAATAATTGTTGCTTTTTATTTTTTTTTTACTTCCAATTCATTTCAGTCAAGTTTCACATTTTTCACTTATAATTTATTTATTTATTTTTTTCATATGCTCTCGTCCTCAAGGTTATGACACCGTGAGAATCTCATGCCAGCCCATGCTTGGCGAGCAAACACAATGAGAGCTGAAGGTCAGCCTCCAGAAACTTTCTCATATCAGAGCTGATGAGTAAAGGGATCGCTTCAAGAATCATTCCTGAAAATTTCTCTCGTTTAGTCTGAGATGTTTTATTTTTATTTTTCTTTTTTTTTTTTAAAACAACAAAAACAGAGTGAAGAGCTGAGACAGAATCATATACAGACTGGTCCCATAATAGAAGCTGAGCCGTCCCCACAACACAGCTGCTTCTCTGAGGTCAGTCAGGAACGCACAGAGTTTATTTGTCCGACTGTTTTATTTGTTTTCTAATACAGCAGATTTGACAGATCTACGTGAAAAGAACGGCGACCTGCAAAGAGTGTGGGAAATCCTCCGTCAAAGAAATCACGCTTTCCCCTTCCGCCTTTTAATTCCATTAGTTTTTCATAATTCATTAGCGTCCCGGGCTGTTTGGGCCCCGACGCCTTCACTTCACCGTTCTTCCCCCTTGAACGACGTATAATGGTTGTACCCTAGCAGCTCAGCGGGGGAGCTGCAGTAACAGCCTCCCAGCCCCTCTGATGGCCAGACAGTAGGCCATTGTAAAGCTGAATCGCCATGGATTTATAGCCGCGGTCCTTGGCTTCCCAGAATGCAATGTCACTCTGTCACCATGTCATCAATCTGCAGTCTCTGACCAAAGACAAAGGGGGAAAAAAATTGCAGCTTAAAACCGGTGGCGGTGGAGGGGGTGAAGGAGGTTTGGGGGGGTGAAACTTATTTATGCATGATCTAATTTTTATCAGCTGCCCTGTCTGTCATGGGTAAAATGTGTGGGTGTGAAACACACAACCCTGAGTCGCACATGCTCACCGAGATGGTGGTTACGCAATAAGATAAAGTTATAAAAAGCATCTTTAGACTGTGATTTTTTTTTTCATTCTTGAACTCTGAAAGTATACAAAAACCTGCTGCATGGCAGACCTGGTCCACACATCTCCGTTCATCAAGAAGGAGGAAGACAGTTGATAAAAGAATTATTGTATTTTTATCATAATGCATGAAGCCGTAAAGTAACTCCGTCAACATGGAGTACTGGAAGCTCCTCAAGTCTTTTTTTTTTTTTTTTCCCATGATCGGCGCACAGAGGCTGATTTATCAGCTTCATAAAGGAGAGGTTCTGTGTCTTTTTTAAATGAGCGGGGGAAATCTAAATCCTCATGATTAATATGCTCTTGAACCCTCTCATAGCCATGGCAACCAGGGAGGATTCCAGGCCCGGGACATAAAAGTGGCGTTTTTCTGTTGGGTTTTTTTTGTTTTGTTTTGTTTTTTGTTTCATCCCCAAGTCTCACAAATGTGTTCCTAAAGCACAGAATGTTTTAACATTGTTCTGCTCAAGATGATGCTAATGACTTAGTGTTATAACACTTTTTACAAGATTTCTGCTTTCCAGGTCTGCTCTCCTCTTGCCGTGGTTCATTACTCTTTTTTTTTTTTTTTAAACATGTGTCAACAAGATTCGCAACAGGTCGTATGTCTTCTTAAAGTCCAATCATTTCACCCACACAGACAAAACCTTTTACAAAGTTGGACAAAAATGACTCCTGGTTATTATCACTAGTCATAAAGGACAAAATCACAGGGGAAAAAAAAGGAATGCTCATCACCGTTATTGTTATGTAAATGTTTAAATACCAAATTAGAATGCTGAAATGGTCGAGGGTTAACACTGATCTACATTTGATCAGTCTATATGTTGCAGATTTTATGCTTCTCTTAATGGTTCCAGTGACAAATTCTGGTTTGATGACTCTCTGTTCACTTTAGAAATACAAGGTTCAGATTTCACCTCTCTATTTTAGGGTAATATCTGCACAACTGAGTCCAGATTTTCTGAAAATGCAAACGTTCCATATGGTTTTAGAGGCAAACTTTGGTTATCCTTTGTTCCGGAAGCGTCAGCAGTTTGGTTCCTGCTGTTTCAACTCAATGTCG